TCTGTCCTCCTGCTTCAGGAGTGGAGCGCAAAAAAACTGTGTGAAACCAGGGGTCCCCTGGCATTCACACCTACTGCTCACACCTGGCACTCACACCTGGTGCCCACACCTGGCATTCTTATCTGGCTTTCAAATGCAGGTTACTTGTCTGCCCTTGATGTTTGCTACCTTTCTGGAGAGCATCAGTGTTGCTTGGCAAGAGCCATCAGACCTCCTAGCACTTCCCTTCCATTCTCCACCAGTGAAAGTTACAGCAGATTGTCTGCCTCAGGGGCACATGTGCCTCGGACTGCCAGTGGGGGTCTTGTTGCAGCTGGACAGTGAGGGATCTAGCTCCCATTCCCCCTTTTACCCCTTAGTCTCTCTTCTGGTACCAACTGTGGCTGCTTGGGTATTCTGGAAGCTGACCGTGAGATCGAGTTTGGGGTAAGAGCTGTGTGTGTTAGGGTCAACCTCGTGAAAGGGAAGGGGCGGAGGCAGTACTGGGCAGAGGGAGAAGTTACATCTCAGTGCAAGAAGCCAGGGCCCACCCAGTGGGGTGCTGTGGAGTGAGCTGTCTGGCAGAAAATCCTGTGTAGGGCCATAAAGGCTGCCACCACCTGTTCCAGCGTGGCTCAGGTGAAGGGGGTCTGCAGCCAGGCTGCCTTAGAGGGGTGGGGGCCTGCAGTGGAGCAGCAGTATCTGTGCGCCTCCTACTTGCAGGCTCAGTTTCTCCAGGAAGGCATTGCTCTCCCGCCCTGGACGAGGTGCTGGCTTAAGGCTGGAGCTGGGTGGGGAAGGGCTGGGGCCCCAGGCCACACATGCTGCCTTTTTTATTTTTTTTATTTTTTTAAGGTATTCAACTTTTATTTTAACTTTTAAAGAAAATCTTACAATAGAATCACTTCTCCTAAAACAGCTATAAAAATAGCCACCATCGACTGAAACAGCTGAGTGGCATTTTGAATGTATATAGTAACTCCCAAACCCATGGTTTTTCCATTCTGCTATGCTGCCTTTCATTAATCCCAGTTTTATAAAATCTTTATGTTCCCAGACTAGGTTACCAGATTTAATTTTTTCTTTCATCAAACTTAACTTTTGATTATCCCTACAGAATTAATTTTAAAAAGCTTAATTTTGGTAAAAATTGGCAAGAAAATTTATTTTATTATTATTATTATTTTATTGTGATTTGGGTGAAAGTTTACAGAGCAAATTCACTTTCCATACAGCAGCTCACATACACTTTGCCTCATGACATTGACTATAATTTTACCACAATGCAACAGTTCCCCTCCCACTTCCTCTCCATAGTTACCTCTTCCTTGTGTCCTTCCCTCCATGCACTCATGCTCCCTGAGCTGTCTCCCTGTGCATACACAGCCCTTCTATTCTTCCATATTGTTCTCTCCAAGGAGTGTATTTACCTAATGTAAATGTTCAGCTCATATGCCTGTCTTTTGTTTGGCTAGAAGCCACAGGAGTGGGTTCAATTCCAGACCTGAAGGCAGCTAGGGGCCATAGTCTCAGTGGTTCCACTAGGCTCTATCAGACTAGCAAAGCTGGTCCCCCCCCTTTTTTTTTAAAGGTTTTTGACTTTTGTTCCACATTGTTCTCCCTCTCTATCCAGGATCTCCTACATAGATCCCCCTCCGAGTGGTTGACAGTGATAGCCGGGCACCATCTAGTTCTTCTGGTCTCGTAGTCGTGTAGGCTGAGGATCACATGGTGTACCAGTCGCTTGGACTAATTGTTTCCATACATCTTTGGTTTTCTTCATTCTTCTTTGCTCTGGATGAGGAGAGACCCATCATTGCATCTAGATGGCCACTTGCAAGCTTTTAAGATCCCAATTGCTCCTAGCCAAAGTAGGATGTGGAACAATGTTTCGTGTAGTATGTTTTGCCAATTGAACTTGATATCCTCTGACACGCTGCATTTCTTGAGCCTGCCTGTCTCCAGGCTGCATTTGCAGCTGCTCCCTGCTTCCATACTAGTCCAGACACAGCCTTCAGGCTCCAGAAGACAGCCATGTGTGCCCTATGTTGGGGGTGGCCCTGCCGACCTGGTCTCTGTCCTGCAGGCTGTCTGCTTAGGTGTCTGGAGACTTCCTGGTTCCTGAGGGCCTGGATCCCCTTTCTGTAGCGACTTTCTTTCTCTCCAGGCCCTCAGGGCTCCCCTCCAATCATACTGAGTCCTCCACCATCCCACCAATGTCACCTAGTTTCACTGAAATGCTGTTTTACTTCTGATTCCTATTCTTGTTGGTTAGGGACTTTTGAGAGAAAGGAGTGGGGAAAACTGTTAGCATCTTTGTTGGTTGTTGGGTGGTGGGGCCACATTTCCACATACCCCCTTTGGAGCCTCAAGGTTTGGAGGGCTGCCTTTACTCTAACTTGGGTTCCAGGAATCACAACTTTGTATTCTTATCATGAGGCCACTTGGATGTCTGGAATGTCTAGAACCAGGAATATAAGAAGATAAAAGTCTGGGCAGACAGTGATCAGAGTCTTCAGCTCATCCATCAGGCTATGAGGGATACCTACGGGGAAAGATGTTGGTGGAGTTGACCAGTACTATGCTGTCTAAGCAGTCCCCCATGTTTCTGTATTCCTAGCTGGCTGGCCTCTTCCAAGCCCCCTGAGTGTCCTAGGGTCAGGAACCCAGGGTGGACATTGCTCTGGGCACTGTCCAGACTAATTTTTTCCATGAATCTTTGGTTTTCTTCATTCTTCATTCTTCATTCTTCATTCTTCATGGGGCAAAGATTGCTGCCCCTTGGCCCAGAAAGAACCATGGCCAGGGAGCGACTGGACTGAAGGTTCCCCACAAGCTAGCCCCTGCTCCAGTGCTTGCACAGTGGGAGATGCCCAGCGTGGAGGTGGCCCCTGACCTGAGGCCCAGTGCCTCTTGGAACCACCCCCCTGTGCCCGTCAGCACAAATCTTGTGGTCTCAGCAGCTGGCCCAGGCCTCAGCGGGAAGTATCCTCACGGCTGTGGATCCTGGCAAACTGGGAGCTGGGCAGGCAGGGACGTCAGACACCTGCTCAGACTCATCAAGCAGTCATGGCCCTTCTGTGGGCTGAATGAGTGGCAGTGTGTGTGAGACTCTGGGGGCCACACAAAGTGATAAGGAGAACTAAGTGGGGTCTTGGTCTGTGATACCCTGGGTGGGCAATAGGTGGGCTGTGTCAGAACCCCCTAGCCCCATGAATGCCCGACCTGCACCCTCAAACCTCCTTGGCCAGCTCAGCAGGCCTCACACCCATGGACTGACAGGGGCAAAAAGGACCTGGATGATGGCTTGGAGAGCCCAGGGTTTCTGCCAGTGGTGGTCAATTAGATGCAGACAGGGAGGGGATTGGCATGTATATGTGTGTGCATGTGGATGTGTGTCTGGAGACTGAGCTCAACTGTGCAGGGGTGGGCCTCACAGTGGTGTCCATTCCTTATCACCTGTCTGTGTCCCCCAGGGCCAGCTCCTCTGCTCACAGTGGAGGCGGTCAGATTTCCCACAGAAACCCCAAAATAGCCCAATCATCCAGGGAGCTGGCTGTTTTCCGCCTGCAGCCCAGCCCTGTCCTGCCTGTCTTGTCCCACCTCCAGTCTAGACCCAGCTCTGCCTCCTTTGGGACTGTGGCCCCCAGCACTTCCTGTAATGGACTGGCGATAGCAGGTGCTGGGCCTTGAGGACATGAGGGTTAACCCTGCTCAGGACACAAGGGCTTACCTGGCTTGAGAGAACCTCCAACAAGAAATCTCATGAATAAACAATGACAAGTTGTGATGGGGGTCTCACAGCAGAATGGGGGTGGGGGAGTAGACTCAGATGAGGGATGATGAAGTGAAGAGGGAACAGCCCTTGCAAAGCCCTAGGACCACCCCTCCTGTCCTTCTCCCTGTCCTGTACTCCCAGCTGCCAGTTGGTGTCCAGACAGTGTGCCCCACCCAGACTCCTGGGAAAGCTGAGGCTGGGGTATGAGCAATGACTCCAGGTCTTGGCTGGGGCCCAAAGTCCAAGGGAGAGCTTTGGGGTCAGGGGCATGCCCAGGCTGAGAGTAGCCAGGAGGGGGCTATGTAGAGAAGGGCTGAGCCTGTCCCAAAATAGGGTCATGGGATCTCCCTGGCCATAAAAGGCTCTTGGAATCTGGACCCCAGGGACCCTGGACAGCCGGGCCCAGTTAAAACCCCACAGTCACCCCTTCCTGCATGTTCTGCCCATAGCTGCTCTGTGCCACTGTGGTTGCAGTGCCTGCGGGCAGCCACAGACATGGTAAGTTTGCTGCTGGGCCCAGAGCCCCTGGGCAGGTGGGTGGTGCTTTGAGCTGGAGCTAGGATCACACGGTGGGGGAAGCTGGGGAAGGAGCTAATCCACACAGTTGGGGCACCTTCCCTAGGAGCCCCAAGAAGGCCTGGTGAGCCCTGCGATCCTGGGCTGGAGCAGAACAGTCCTCTCTGAAAGCCCTCCCATGAGCCACTTCAGCAGCAGGCAGGGGAGGTCAGGTCCTGGACTCCCCCCTTTCCTTGGAGCCTTTGCCCTGGCCTGGGCTGGGCTCCCTTTGAACTAGTTCAAGGTATCCCTCATGTGCTCTCATCATCATCTCCCCATCACCTTGGCCCTGGGGTCTGGCTCACCTGCCCCTGCAGCCTTGATGCTTCCTCATACCAAGGACCTGTGCCCTGGCCCCTCCATACCTGGCCGCCAACACCTGGCTCCTCCACATCTGAACTTCCACACCTGGACTCCAACACATGGCCCCTTTATACCTGGCCCCTGTCTCACTTGTCCTTCCCCTTTTAAACTACCTGGTGGTCTTTCTGACCCTCAACACTCACTGTATGGGCCACCTTCCTCTTGGGCCCTGGCTGGGCTGGGGACCTCTTCTTTCTAACCACAGACCCTTAGGCTGGTCAAGTGGATGGACAGGGAAGGGATGCCCAGGATGCTCAACCCTCCTTTGGACTGAGGCCTGGCTAGAGCCCTGGAGTTCCTGGCTAGGGGGCAGCATGTTACCCACAGATGGAGCGCTTGACGGCTGAACAGATCAAGGAGTACAAGGGGGTCTTCGAGATGTTCGATGAGGAGGGCAACGGGGAGGTGAAGACGGGCGAGCTGGAGCGGCTCATGAGCCTGCTGGGCATCAATCCCACCAAGAGTGAGCTGGCCTCCATGGCCAAGGACGTGGACAGAGGCAGTAAGGCCAGGGTGGCAGGCGGGTGGGTGGCTGGCAGGGGTACCTGTTTGTGGAAGTGACGGAGTCCCCGGGGGTGGAAGGATGGGGAGAATGAGGAACCCAGCCCACCCTTCATGTGGCTCCTTGCAGACAAAGGGTTCTTCAACTGTGATGGCTTCTTGGCACTGATGGGCATTTACCACGAGAAAGCCCAGAACCAGGAGGGCGAGCTGAGGGCAGCCTTCCGAGTCTTTGACAAGGAGGGCAAGGGCTACATTGATTGGAACACACTCAAGTATGGCCCTGTGGATGGCTGGGGGAGAGCTGGGGGGAGGGTGGGCTGGCTGGAAGGGCCAGGCGGGTTGGGTGGGTGCAGCCCTGGGCTGACTTTCCAGGGCTCAGCTCAGTGTCGGGGGTCTGGCAGGTATGTGCTCATGAATGCGGGTGAGCCCTTAAACGAGGTGGAGGCTGAGCAGATGATGAAGGAGGCTGACAAGGACGGAGATGGGACCATTGACTATGAGGGTAAGCTGAGGGGCGAGGCTGATGCTTGAGGCCCTGGTGGCCAGGGCCAGGGCAAGCAGCTGACCTGTGCCTCTGCCCCTCAGAGTTCGTGGCCATGATGACCGGAGAGTCCTTCAAGCTGGTCCAGTAGGAGCAGCTGCCATGCTGTGGGTGGCTGCCTGCCACTGCCCTCCCCACCCCTACCAGCTCAGTGTCCAATAAATGTCTGTTCTGACTCCTGTGCACGCCTCACTGTCCATGGCAGGGAGGGGTGGTGGCTGTGAGGACATAAAGAGTTTTCTGCCCAGATACTTGGGCCCAGTCACTTCTGCTGGGACACCTGACACCCCCTCCTGGCTCTGGGCTGTGGCATTCATGGCAGCTGGAGCCCGCGTGGCAGTTATCTGTCTGTAGCCCATGTGATACCAGCCTGCAGGTCTGCCTGGACATGGGCTGGGGAGGACCACACCTTACCTGCCCATCTGCCCTCCCAAACCCTCTCCACACTGGTGGAAGCTACTTAGATACAAACTTTATTCTCTTTCTGGAAAGCTGCAGACATCACAGCTGGCAGGGTGCTTCTGGTGCTCAGTCCTGCTCAGGTGGGCAGGGGCTGGGGTGAAGCAGCTGCCTGCCCAGGGTGGGGTGGGCATTCCTCCCATCCCTGGCTGTTACATAGCAACGAGGTTGGACAGCAGCAATGTGCTGGACACTGGCCTTCCTGAGGGGGAAGGTGGTGGGGACAGGCTGAGGCCATGGTGCCAAGTCCCTGTGTGCTTGGCTCCTGGAGCATGAGGTGGTAGGAGGCAGTAGAAAGAAGGCTTCTGTCCAAAGGCTCCAAGAGAACTCTCCACCCTGTGAGGGTGCCAGGGCTACAGCTGGGGGTCCTGGGGTCCTGGAGTGGCCTCTAAGCCTAAGGTCCTAGGGAGAGGGCTAGACCTCAAGAAGGGGGCTTCAGGAAGGGGGTTTGGCCTCAGGGAGGGGGATGGCTCTTGCTGGCTGGGCCTTGGGGATGGGGCTGGCTCTTGGTAGCTAGGCTTGGCTGTCTTGATTGCCTCATCATAAGACGGTGGCAGCTCCAGGACATACAGGCTGTAGGCGGGTGGTGCCACAGTGTCAAGATCCAGCTCCCCAAAGGGCAAGGGCAGCCTCATAGACAGTGGGTACTGCACAGAGCTGTAGGCTGTGGGAACCAGGAGGGAGTAAGCCAGGGCAGGACTCAGCCCTCAACCCCCACCCTGGCAGGTGGCCTGGGTCTGTGAGCACTCACAGGTCACTGTGCTGTGCACAGGGCTGTCGCTGTCTACAGGGATGACCGTTAGGTCGCAGGGCTGCTGAGGTGGCAGCAGGTGTGGCTGGGCTTGCGCCTGCTTCCTGAGGCAGCAGAACCGGACGCAGCTGGCTGTGACTGCGCACAGTAGCAGCAGGAGGACTGCCAGCAGGATGAGCCTGGTAGGAGGAGCAAGGCCCTGCCACTGGGCTGACCTCGACCACCAGGCCCCTGCTCCCTGTAGCAGGCAGGGCCACACAGCCCACAACAGGACAGATAACAGGAGGAGAAAGAATCAGAGTGTCTCTCCAGGCTGGACACCTCCCTGGCTGAGCTGCCCAAGGAGCCGGTCTGGCCTCCTGCTGCTGGGCCTGACCAGTTGTCTTTCCAAGGCTGGCCAGAAGAGGCCTTGGGCTCACTCCCAGGACATACTGTCCCCTGCGGCTACGTAGCTCTTGTGCCTAGATGACTGAGGACAGGGGCCTCCCACAGGGGCAAAGGAAGAGGGGAGGGAGAGGTGCTAGAAGCTGCAGGGAGAGAGGGAGGGACTGGGCTTGCTGCTAGGGCAGGAATCTACCATGCCACCTTCGCTTTGGCTCCACCTGGGGGCAGCAGCAGTGGCTCTGAGGCCACGCTGGTGCTGCCGGGTGAAGGAGGTAGGTGGAGGCCTCAGCGCCTTCCCCTTGTTGGGGAGCAGTGTTGGCATCACCTCAGCACTGGAAGCCCAGAGTAGGCGACCTGCGTTAGAGGTCTGGCCTGGTGGAGGTCTGTGAGGCCTTACCCGCGGGCTCCCTCCCCGCCCTAAATGCCCTCCGGCGGACCGGCAGCTCCATGCCTGCACTTACCCCACGTGCCACAGGCTGCTCCAGCGGGCCTGGGGCGGGCACCTGCGGGGACGGCGGCACCTGGAGCAGGCGGGGCACCGGGCGCCGACCTCACCGCCCGACCCCTCCCACAGGCGGGACCGGCACAGCCCAGGCGCCCGGACCCTCCCCCCGACTTACTGATCCGAATTGTCGCAGCTGCCGTCCGTGAAGCCCAGCGCCACCTGTGGGGACAGGGATGAGCTGGGGCAGGGCGGAGCAAAGCGAGGGCACACGCCCCCCGTGGGGTCCAAATCCAGCTGTGGCCAGACCCACCTGTGGCAGCGACCAGAGCGGTAGGAGCAGCAGGAGCTCGCGGCAGACCGGAAAGCCCAAAGCCATCCTCCTGGACGGCGGGCCAGAGAAACAGGCGCCCCGCAGTTTTATGGAGATCACGCCCCAGGACTCCGCCCACCGGGGGGGCAGTTTTGTAGACCTCTTCCACCAGGCCTGGTCACCAGAGTCACGGCCCACGGGAGGTTCCGACCCCGGAGGCCCTGCCGAACGGAGGCCACGCCCCTCGAAGTCCCTTTCCAGAGACCCCGCCCAAAGAAGGCCCCGCCCCAGAGACACTGCCCCTCGATGTCACCACTCTTCGAAGTCCCCGCCCACCGGGCCCCGCCCCGGTGGCCCTGCCCAATGGAGGCTCCGCCCCCTGAGGCTCCACCCCCGGGGCCCCGCCCCAGAGCCCCACATGGCAGCTCCCCCTCCCACCTAGCTCGTTGCCTCGGTCAGTCAACCAGCCTGCGGGGTCGCCTGGTGGGGGTCGCGGGGCGAGGACAACGCCAGATGGGTCAGCGGTCCCTCTTCTGCCGGCCTGGGCGCCCCTGGGACCGGTCTGTGTGGGGGTGGCGAGGACAAATATATGTAACCAGCTGCGCGGCCGAGCTCACAACGACTACTCCAAATTAACATTCGAGACGCGGAACTCTTCAAACGTTGTAGTTCCTCAACGCTAGTGGCGCCCCCCCACCGGAGCCTGCGGGGAGCAGACCGCTTTCTGAGCTACACTCGCCCGGAAAGCCACGCCCAGCGCTGGGAAGGTGGCCGCTGAGAACCTGGCCCCTGGGGCCTAGAATCCAGCAGCCCGCCTGGTGGCCGCATGCGCGCCTTCTCTCTACCGGGAGCCCGCCTCTTCATTCTCCCCGGAGGCCTTAGGGTCATTTCTTCCCAGAGGCCCCGGACACCCGCATCACTACCAAGCGTTAGACCCTGGCAGGCCCTCCACCAGGGATCCTAGCAGGATCCCTGGTACAATGGGTCCTAGTCAGGCTAAGGGAAGGACCAGCAGCGAGGGGCGGGTGGACTGATCTTGTCTGGGAAGGGCAGAAGGAGTCCCCCTCCCTTATTCCCTTCAAGGGACGTGTCCTCAAAGGGACCTTCTCTGCTTTGCCCAGGCCAGTGTCTGGTACCTGCCAGGCCCCTGCTCCCTGTCTCCCTGCCCCCCTCCTGGCCTCACTCAAGGCCTGCAGCTGCCTCTAGGGCCCCCCCCCCCCCCCCACAACCCCCAGCCCACCTTGCTCCTGGCCTCCCCTTCTCTTCCTCCTAGCTGAACTGAGCTTGGCCTTGGAGGAGCAGCACACAGGTACAAGGGAGGAGGGAGGAATGGGCAGAAGCCAGGCTGGGAGTCAGACAGGTGAGCAGTGGGATAGCAGCCAGCCCAGGAAGGAGGTGAGGACAGTGCCCTCTGAGGCACCTCATTTGGGGCCTAGGCCTGGCCTGGGGTCGCTGGACCCTGCCTTCTCCTCTCCTCTGGTGAAGGAGGGCCCTCAGGGCTCAGTGAGGGCAGGAGGGGACCTGCCTGGTCTGCAGTCTGTAAATCCCAAGCCTCCAGCTGGCAGTTGTTGTTGTTGTTGTTATGTGCCACTGAGTGAACCCAGCTCATAGCGACCCCTCCTTGGGTTTCCGAGGCAGTATCACTACAGAAGTAGATTGACCAACCTTCCTTCTGAGGAGTGGCTGGTGGGTTTGAACCGCCAGCCTTCTGGTTAGCAGTCAAGTGCCTTAGCTACTAGTCCTGTCAAATCACTCCAGGGTCAAGGTCATTGGCCTGAGACCCAGAGGGCACAGAAGAGTCAGGTTGACAGCCCTGAAGCCCCCATTGCCCCCTCTGGGTGTTAGTGTCTTCAAGACCTGTGCCGAGACCCCAGACACCACTCCCACCACACCTGCAGGGAAGGCTGCTCCAGATGGGTGGGGACTATGCACAGGGGCCCTAGGGGAGCTCTGGTAGCATAGTGGCTAAGACACTTGCCTGCTCACCAGAAGGCTGGCGGTTCAAACCCACCAGCCACTCCTCGGAAGGAAGGTTGGGCAATCCTACTTCCGTAGTGATTCTGCCTCGGAAACCCAAGGAGGGGTCGCTATGAGTCAGGGCTGACTCGACGGCACATAACAACAACAACAACATGCACAGGGGCCCAGGCTGAATGGGCTTTGTAGGGCCTATGGCCAAAAGCTAGCTACTCCCGAGTTGACCGGTGGGGTGGTGTGCGTGTAGGTGCCACTCTGAGCTCAAAGGAGCATCTTCTCATGGGTAGGGCGGGTCAATCCTGTGGAAATCCAAACCAAGTGCTGGGCTTCTCTCTGGGCCCCTCCTGGGCCCTGGGGTAAGGACTTGAATGAAAGAGTATCTCCAACCTTTGCTTGGGGTTATCGGGGGTACTGCACCTTGGGGGGGAGCCTGAGGCCCAGGGGCCATCTATGGGCTTCGAAGCCCCCTACCCATTCCCCTCCTCCCTGGGCCTTCACCAGCTCAGCTCCAGCCCTGCCTGCTGTGCTCCCCCATGCTCCAGGCGTGGGCCTTTCCTCGGTGGCTGGCAACACCCTCACTCTCCAGGAAGCCCTTCCTTAGTTTTCCTTAGTTCTTTGGCTGATGGACTGTGTGTGTGTATGTTGTGTGTGTATGTGTTTGCACATCATCTCCCCTGGGACTCTGTACCCACTGCCCTGTCTTCCCTTGCCCCAGCAAATACTTGGTTGCTGCAAATGTGGTGGTTCATGGAGGTTTATTGACAAGCTGTGGGCTAGCTCTCCCCTGCGGTCCCCAGAGAATGGGCAGGACTGGTGACTGTGGCCCCAAGGACTCAGGGTCTCAGCAGGCTGCCAGGTGGCTGTATCTTCGTGCTTGTTTTGGGCCTGGGGGGCTTGGATGCTGGGCTTGCTGGTCCAGGACAACTGCAGGACTTGAGGTAGAGGCCCTGTCTATGGGGTTGGGGGTCCTGTTTGAGGGACAATGCTGAGGGCTGCCCTGCTGATTTGGACCGGCCCAGCTGGTGATGGCCAGGCCCCAGGAAGACTACCCAGCCTGGACTATGGTGGATGGAAAGGGCTTCGAGGGAGGTGAGAGGATCTGAGAGGGGCTCCTGGGGTAGCTCTTGTGCTTCAGGAGCGAGTCACCACCTGGGCCACCAAGAGGACTTTGTAGATCTCCTTCACGTCCCCCCTGAGCACCAGCAGGGCTGACACCATGAGTGGATAGTCTGGCTGGAAGTGGGGGGAGTAGGAGCCCTTAGCCACTGGGCACCCCAGGCACAGCCCACTTCTCCCCACCCAGCACCATGCCCCCAAGCCTTCTCAGGGTGGGGCAGGGTGTCACCCGCTGCCTGCCCACCAGCCGCTTGGGTTCTGGGTCCCCGGGCTAGGGCAGAGGCCAGCCTACATCGAAGTCCGCTGTGGGCATCCATGAGATGCTGATGGTCTTGGTCTGGCCTCGATCCACGAAGCCCCGGGAAGGCTCCAGAGTGAAGCCCTTGTGCTGCAGGGCTGAGACACTATCCAGGCTGAACTCCACACTCTGTGGGGCATGGGGAGGGGGTTGCCTCATGGACTAGGGACAGGGGGACCCTGCTTCACCAACCTCTCAGCTCTGACCAGCTGGCTGCCCTCCCCAAACCTGCTGCAGGACATGCTAGCCAAAGCCAGCTGGGGGCAATGCCATGGGCTCCCAGGGCAAGGCGGTGCCACCAGAGCAGAGGGGGCGTCACCTTCTTTGGAGACAGCTGGGAGGTTCGGATGCAGCCCACCTGCAGCTCTCGGGTAGCAGGAGGGGCTGGTGTGTCGGTGTCTAGCTGCAGGTACTCCAGAGTTACCAAAATGGACTTCAGCTCCTCTGCCTCTGTGGAAGGAGGGTGGGCCTAGCTGGGGTAGCCAGCACAGGAGTGGGTGGGGTCAGCCCCCCCAGGGAGGGAGGAGCTTATTGGGATCTGTGTGTGTGTGGGGGGGGGGGGGGGAACGCGCGTGCGCATATGCATGCATGCACGCGTGCATGCAGAGATGGGTGCAGGGGTAGGGTGGGTATCATCCTGCCTCCCAGGGCTCACCCTCTCTGTGCTCCTGGTCGAAGGCTGGGATCATGGTCAGAGACTCCACAGGTACGTCCAGGGGGTCCCCACCCTCCACAAACATCATGTGTTCTCTGGCAGCACCCTTCAGGAGGATCTGATGGGAGACTGTCTGAGGACAGAGGAGGCGGCCCTGTCACTGCCGCTCTGAGCTCAGGACTACGCTGAGGGGACTGGGTGCAGCTCCATCGGACCGGGGACGCGGGTCCTTCCACCATGTCGACCCCAGGGCAGGGCAAGGAGATCCTCAGGCGGGAGGGGTCTCTCAGCGCAGGGTGGCCCTTAGCAGGGTTGTGGGCGGGGCGCACCTTGTCAAAGAGCACCACCTGGAGCCGGTCAGAGAAGTACAGGCTCTCGTGGTCCGGGCTGAAGGTTACGGTGAAGTCCTGCGCCTTCCCGGGTTCAATGATGCCCTCGACCGGGGCCACGCTGAACACACTCTGCCCGTTCAGGTTCTGCGTGCCTGCGGGCAGTAGGGCGTGGCCGGACCGCGAGCCCAGGGCCCAACACACCCGGCCCCATCCTCTGCTGCTTGTCTTCTGACCAAGCTTTCGCCCACTCTGTCCATTCCCGGCACCCCCCCCCCCCCGGCCTCACAACCCTCACAGTCTTGATGATTCTCTTCGCGCCTCGTCCGGCCCCTCCCACGGTGGGCTCCTTGCCCTCCTACCCGCTGGACCCCATTCCCCGCCCCAGTCTGCCTTTTCCTCACTTCCCTGTGCTCCTCCCCATGCTGCACTCCTGCGCCCCCGCATGCCAGACCCCTTCCACAGCTTCCAGGCTGGCCCCCTGAGGCCCTCGTTCCTCCTCTTCCTTCCTGCACAGGTCCCGCCTGCAAGCTCACCAACCACGTCCGTCCTCTGCTCGGGGGAGACAAGGAACTGTGGCAGCTGTTGCCGGTCCTCCCTCCGTGTGCAGGACAGACTGTCCAGCCTCATAGAGAACTTGATGGGGAGAGTGGAATCGTTCTGCAGCTGCGGGGGCGAGGGACCCGGGCGGGGCTCGTTAGTCCCAGCGGCCTTCCTCCGCATGCTGGAAAAGTCCCAGCACTCACATCTCCAAGCAGTGTCTCCCCTCCTCATCCCTTCTTCAGAGGGCCCCTAAGGAAACTGTGGCCACGCTCTGCGGGGCTGGGAACCCACAGGCGAGGCAGCCTCACACGAAGGTGTCTCCCCACAGAAGCCTTGCCTGAGCTAAGCTCCCTGAAGAGCTAAGGAAGGGGCTCCAGGCAGAGGTGCTGGCCCTGTTGCCAAAGTAGGAGGAGGGGAAGCTGGGTAACCGGGCCAGGGGCTGATGGGCTCAGGGAAGTGGAATCATCAGGCCTCCCAGAACCAGTGCCTTGTGTTCTCTCTGCTGGGGCAGCCCCACCAGCCCACTGGTCTCAAGACTGGGCTGACCCCTTCTGGGCAGAAAGAAGGACCTCCTCCCCTGGGACCTTGCCTAAGGCTGCCTGAGGGACTTGGAAGGCTGGAGGTTGGAGGGTGTGGCCCAAGTGTGCTTCACCTTGAAAGTGGAGGAGACAGACTCCCTGGCTATCACGTAGCCCATGTTGAGAACGTCCCCTTCGATGGAGCAGACAATCACGGAAGCGACACCGGTACCCAGGAGGGTGAGGGTGAGCGTGCCCCTCTTGGTGATGATGTCCAGTGTCTCCTGGGCCTGAAGAGACCCTACCCTCAGCAGGAGGCGAATGCCCCCCAGGCCTCAGGGGACCGGCTCCTGGGACTGGCCTGGCCTGGTCAGCTATGGCCTGAGCACTTGGACAGCCCTGCAGAGCCCCCAGGCCCAGCCCCGGCCCAGGGTGGCCTGGACTCACCTGGATGCTCTCCTGGGGTAAGAAGGACAGCCCTAGGACCTGGGTCTCGCCTACAAGCAGCTTGTTGAAGGAGTTCAGCAGGACGAAGGGGCCGTTGGGGTTCAGGACTGAGAACTCCACCTGAGAGTGGCTGTCAAGGAGAGGGCCATGGGCTCTGCTTTGGCGTGGGGGGGGGGGCTCCTGTTGAGGCCTTGCAAGGGAAGGATACAGCCAAGTCCTCAGGGGAGATGTTCTGGATGGAGACTTTCTTCATGCCACGGTGTCCTGAAACATAGGTGGAGGGAGGGCTTCGGCAGGTGTGTGAGAGTGAGTGTGGGGGAGCCTGAGAGCCTGAGAGCTGGGCCCAGCCAGACTCACCGACGGCCACCTCTCCAAAGTTAAAGACAGTTTTGCCTTTGTCAGATGTCACCACGATGGACGGTGCCACTGTTGGACACCACAGCTCTAAGTACAAGGTGTTGTGGGGGCTGTGGGCCAGATCAGAGCCACACTGAGCGCAAGGTGGGGTGGAGTGGGCAAGCGCCCTGGCAACCCAGTCCCACACACCACCCAGGCCGAGCAGCCTCTGGGCCAGAGCATATGAGGCCTAGAGATCTGCCCTATCTTGGACACTCCGTACCTGAAACTCATGGGCTCTGTTTCCTTTCTGTCCTTGATGTCCCCACTGGCAATGACACAGGGGACCACAAACTTGTCAAACTTCCCCCCAAAAGCTCTGGCCAGGGCAGCCTGGGCAGCCTGGAACTCTTCAGAACTGGAATAAGCCATCAAAGCACGCTTGTGCTCTGCCACTGCCTGATGGCAGCCCTGGGTCCAACCTCCCTGGGCAAAGGCCAGCCTGTGCAGTAGCTACACTTCATAGGCCCTGGGATCAGAGCTACCTCTCTGGGGAGGACAGGGTGGTGAGAGGCAGCAGCCTGCGACCACACCATCTGAGTTTTGTCTGGCCAGATGGCTGTCCCACCTCCTTCCTTCCCTGGTTACTATGGGAGCCTGCTTCCCAAACCCAGGATCTTGGTTGAGTTGGCCACAGGAGAGCATATACCCCTGGCAACTAACCACAGAGCCATGTCCCAGGACTCCAGATATGGGTACAGAGCTGGCAGAGCATCCTGGGGTCCATTGTGGAAACTGGGAAGCCTGACATTGCTAAGCCAGTAGCAGCTTCTTCCCCAGCCACGGCTGGGGCACTCAGTGGGGTGGGCAGATGCCCTGGAAGGCAGAGCCTAGAGGGCTTTGAGGCATTGTCTGGATCCAGTCCCTTCTGGGCCCACCTGGCCTTGAGCTCTTGCTTCTGCAGCTCCAGGGTTGGGGGAGTGGAGACCCGGAATTGTCGCTCTCTGTTCTGTTGCCGCATGGGGAGGATGGACTGCCTCCGTGGGTCTTTCTTCTGGGTGACTGTGTCCTTTCGGGTCTGTAAGAAGGAGAGGCTGTGGGTCTGCCCTGAAGCTCTGCCCTCAGCTTGGCCATCACTGAACTGCCACTCTGGGCTCTTTTGGGCCCAGCTTAGGGCCCAAACTGCTATGGGAGCTATGGGTTTGCAGAGCACGGGGATCTGATAACCAAGTAGCTTTCTAAGAGGGACTGACAGTGGCAGTAGACAGGGCAAATAAAGGAGACAGCGAATGTGTGTGGGATGGATAGCTGAGTTCTGGGGTGGAGTGCGAAGAGACCATCCACAAGTCAGTTAGGGCAGAAGTCAGTCAGCCTCTTGCCTCTGTGAGTGGGGAAGTACTTCACACATTACCTTTGAGCAGATGACAACTTTCATTCCCTGGTTCATGGGTGAGAAGCCTCAGGTCCCCAAGAGAGGCAGGAGCAGCTTGCTGGAATGCATCCTGCCTCTCCATCTGCTATACCCCCATCCCCATTTTCCACCAACCTGTTTGGCTCCAGCCTCCTTGCTCAGTGCCTGGAGGGCCTCCTGTCGCACCAATTCCTCAGGGAGCACAGGCTGGAAGGCCACCTGCACCAAGCACCTCTGTGGGAAGAGCAGGAATGGCCCTGGGAGCTGCCATCCCACCCCAAGGCCCCTGGTGGCCCTGCTGGCACCCATGCCCTCTTCATGCACCCCACACCTGCCACTCTGATCCTGGTTGTCAGTTGTCATCTTCCTTCTGCAAGATATCTCCAGGAAGTCCTATCCTTAGCACTGCCTCAGAATTGGGGTGGGCTGCCTACAGGACTTCCAGGCCCCCCTTACCATGGGGTGGGGTCTTGAAACTTTGTTTTGAGGCATGAAAACCTGGGGGGTCTTGTACCCTGTCAGCCCAACTTTCCAGCTTTTCCAAGCCTGAATCTGTTCTTTCCACAATCCACACCCTAGATGTCCTCTATGTGACTAGATGTGAGGCCACTCATCGTGGTCTCCCAGTGTTTAGCAAGTACTCAGGACATTTGTTGGAGAGAGACAGACAGAGAGACATAGAGAGACAGAGAAAGACACAGAGAGACAAAAACAGAATGCCGCAGACCCCTTTGGGGATGAGAGCACTCTTCAATAATGTGCAGAATTGAGTGGAGTGGATTTAAATGTCCTGTTGACTGAGTGGTACTGGCTAGGCCTTACCTGGCCCCACATCCCTGTTGTGCTCAGTCCTTTCCAAAGCCCTCATAGTAGCTGTCACCCCATTTTTGAAGGATTTAAACTGGGGGGCTGTGAGCCCTTGTTCCTTTTGCCTCCCCCTCCCAGCTGGTTAAGTTAGGGGAGGGAGGAAGGCAGATGAGAAGAACAGCTGTGTGGCCTGGAGCCAAAGCCCACCTCTGTTGGCAGGCACCTGTGAGGTCAGCTGCCCTGGTGGAGGGCGGCCTGTGGGTTGGCTGCTGCCTGCGAGTGGGGCTCAGGATGTGCTGGCCTTCTCCCATGGCCCAGGGGAGCCCTGGCCCTGTGCTCATGAACCACGGAAGCCCTGGCCCTGTACTGTTTCCTGAGGGCTGGGTTGGAGCTCCCTCTTCCACCCATTGAGTATCTGTGGGCAGAGTAGACAGCTCACCCCCTGCCTGCCTGTGGAGCCCACACCCACCTTTCCTGGTAGCACTGTCCCCACTGAGGGCGAGATGGTGATTGGAGAATCCGGGGGCAGCAGGAACTCGAAAGATGTGGGCCCCACAGGGGCAGCGTCCTGGGAGCCGATGCGGGGCACCGAGTGGGTCAGTGAGTTCATGCTCAGGTGGGAGTTGATGACGTACAGGGTGGCCACGGAGGTGTCATACAAGGCAGTGGCCGCAAACTTGATGTGGTAGTGAGACAGCTCCAGGGGTGGGTGGACGCCCACAGCTCGGCAAGAGAGCTTGAACTGCCTGGGGCAAGGAGAGGACAGCCTGAGTCTGGGCCCCTAGTGGGGACGGGAGATGTTGAGAGAGATCTCTGTGTGTGGACATGTCCACCCCCCTCCCCCCGGGCACTGACTCAATCCTAAGCCTGTTAAGTGTAACCTGTTACAATGACTGTCATGTGTTTTGCTCATGACATCACTAACAAAGCAAAGGTTATGGGTTGTGCAAATGGTTTGCATTTAACTAGTAACCTAAAGGTTGGTGATTCAAACCCACCCAGTGGTGCCACATAAAAAAGGCAAAGATTACAGCTGAGAAAACCCTCTGGAGCTCAGTTCTCTACAACATGTGGGGTCACCATGAGTCAGAGTCAGTTTGATGGCAATGGGTTTGGTTTTTGGCTCATTAAGGAATTTTGAGAACACCATGTGTCCTATGCCAATTTTAACTGGGTAGCTAAAATTTTAATCACAAGCTTAGATAGTGTAAAGGAGGTAATTCCTGGCTTATTTTCTTAAGTGTTTATCGACATTAAAATCATAAAATAGATTGATCTTTAAGCACAGGAATTCCACCCTCCCGCCATGGTAAGTTGAAGCCCACCATCATCTATTAATGGAAAAGAACAGTGTTTTGGGCAATTTAACCATTGGCAATTTTACTTTCCACACGGGGCTTTGAATTGTTTCTTCTCAGTTCAGTAATGGCCATTAAAGTGAAGCTGGAATGGACCCACATTTGTAAAAAGTGGGTGCACTGGAACAATAACCAGAATGGGAAAAATTACAGGTTGATGTCCTGCTAGAAACTTAATCTTCTCCTGAAAACAAAGGCAGCATGCACACTGCATAGCAACCAAATCTCTTGACTGACAGAGTTGGAAATAACGGTGCCCAGCTCAAAGGTGGTGGTCGACTGTGTCACTTTGAAGGTGTGTCACCCTCCACAGACCTTGCAGTAATTCCAATTTCCTGTATCAGGCTCCTGAAGCGGCTCACTACACCTGTTCCAAGTCTCCCATTCCAGGGCTTCAACCCATCATTTTTCCCATTCTGGTTAACTTTCCTGTACACCAACATTTTTCAGATTTGGGTCTGTTCTAATTTTGCTGTGTTGGCCATGACTAAATCAGTTTGAACCAGCTGAAAGCCCTCTTTCCATATTCTCACTGAACTCCTATTTCCTTTGCCCCTTTCCCACTGAATTTCATCTTAATGACATTTATTTTTATGCTTTAAAGAATAAGACTAATCACTCCATCATACTTGTCTGAAACAAATATGTACCTAGATGTTGAAATATTTTGATGTGTATCTTTATGTCCTCTGCCACAAAGCTTTTAATGTTAAAATACAAAATTCTTTCTGGATGGAGATATCCCTACAGTAATTATTAGCAATCAACTCACTGAACACTTCAATATACAAAAATGTGATGAATGTGCAAAGGAAAACTTTGCTGGAAATCCATTTTTGACCAGATGGATGGCACTGTGGTTTTGCATTGGCCCCAGTGTCTCTCAGAGAACATGGCTTGTTTGAAAGGTAGATTGGCTTTGAGTAGATATGGGCATGCTGGGGAGTGGAGGGTACTTTGTCCCCAGCGTTGCCCAACCCTTTGAACTATTTTTTTTTCAGGGCTCCCTTTGAGCTACTTTTGATTTACACGCCCCAAAATCACATACCAGCACACTCTCCACCCTACACTGTCTTTAACAATCTATCTCTGGAACTCAGGTCTGAAAGCCCTTGCCGGCTGCCTTGGGCTCTCGGTGGCCACTGAGGCTCTTTTGAGACTTACCAGGTGCCACTACAGACTTTGAGGCAGTGGGTTTAAAACCTAACCCATTCAGAAAGAACTGAGCCATCGTGACACTGTCCACCCCAGACACATTAGCCAATATCAGATATATCTGGGGATACAATGCTTTTATCTTTGCAGGTGCTTGAAAAGGTTTCTTTTTCCTCAAAACCATTGGGGTAAGGGTCTGTTCATTCATTACTTGGAAGATGTCTTCCATCTAGCCTCAGAGGTAGAGCCAACTTCCCTGTCCAACCGTTGGTCCAGTCAACTTTAACCTTGCTTCCAAAGGCAAATGTTTGGCTTCATTTACAATTCCCACAGGTCTGCTGATGCCTGTGCCCTAGGCCACAATCCTGCAGGATGGATACAGACACTCTAGGAAATGTGAGGCAGAGAGTGAGGCCCTGGACCCCTTTCGGAGCATTTCTGAGTTCCTGGCTGCTTGAATAATTTCTTAGAAGGATCAGCACAAAGCTGGTCCCTATGAGGTAGAGGTTAAAGATGTCTCAAATGTCCAACTTTTCCAAACTGCTGGGCCACTCTATCATCTCTAACTTCAACTCCTCCTCCTCCCCTCAGTCCTCTCCCTCCCGTCTCAGGGTTCTGTATTCTGCTGCAATGTCTCACAGAACTCACACACTGCCAAGGAAACAGCTCATGTGGTGGTAGAGGCTGGGAATCTGGCAAGTCCCAAGTCCATAGGTAGGTCCAGAGAATTCTCCTCACTCATGTGGTTACAGGGGCTGGCGAACCCAAATTGGTGGGTCAGATGACCAGCTGCTGTCCCAAGTCCAGGGGTGAGATGACGACGAACCAAATGCAGGACTGGAGCAAACTTTCCCAGAACATTCACATACATACTCTCAAGGAGACTAAAGATGGTGACTTGAGTCACACCCTCCAGCAAGGTGGGCCTCAAGACACATCCCACTCTAAACAGGTGACCCTCATTGGGTTTCCAAGGCTGTAAATCTTTATGGAAGTAGATTGCCTTATCTTCCTCCTGCAGAGCAGCTGGTGGGTTTGAACTGCTGACCTGGTTAGCAGACAAATGCCTTACCCATTATGCCACCATGTTGTTGTTGTTGTTGTTTGCCGTCGAGTCAGCCCTGATTCATAGCGACCCCTCCTTGGGTTTCCGAGGCAGTATCACACGGAAGTAGATTGCCCAATCTTCCTTCTGAGGAGTGGCTGGTGGGTTTGAACCGCCAGCCTTCTGGTTAGCAGTCAAGTGCCTTAGGCACTATGCTACCATAGCTCCTTCTAAATATGCATAGAGACTAGGATTTATATCACAAAATGGAGGACTATGGCTAAAAGGGCATATTAAGCAATTCACTGCACTGCCCTGGCCCATCACTCACTTGGCTGCATGGCCCCAGGTTTCAGGACTATGTGAGGTGTGGTGATGCCCACGGTCTGCTGCCTGATGTCATGCTGTCCTCATAATCTGAGTTGGGAAGTTTTCCTTCCTTTTCTATTCTCTTGGAGATCTGAGTGAGATGTGGCATCATTAGGGGGAAAAAAAGTTTGGAAGGATTCATCAGTGAGGCCATCAGTGAAGTCTAGATTTCCACTGTGGGAAGATTTCACAATTTGGATTCAATTTCCTTAATAGCTGTGAAAATGCGTCAGATTTTTAAATTTTTTTCTTGTGTCCATTTTGGGAAGCTATGTTTTTTTGAAGGGCCTGGACTATGGTGGCTAATGTGACCTGTGTCACAGAACACAGAAAGGGTTGGCACTTTCAAAGCATGAAGGGCAACATATTTTCAGCTCTTGTTGTGGGTCTCTGGCCCTAAGTTCACACTGCAGAAACAGCCGGGTTTTACACCTGTTGCTAATGTTAGGTGTTGCTGGGGTGAAGGTGTTGGTGCTGGGTTGGTGAAGGAGCATTAGGCTAGTTCTTTGCGGGCAGTTGTTTGGTTTATGGGCATGAGCTGGGGTTGTAGGGATGGCCCTGACCTCATGGGCTGTCTTCTTGGGAGTTGCTCCAGTCGTAGGGCCTCAAGCTGTGTGGACTAATTTTGTAAATTCTGACCTTGGCCATCACCTGTTCAGCTTGCATGTCTACCTGTGTATCCACTCGTAGATTAGTGTTTATCATTACTGTTATTGCAGGATTGTAATAGTGATTACCTTTGTAGCCCTTTTACTCTTGTGCACTTTCCAATATTTTCTTTTGCCTTCATCATGTTGTGCTGACTTTCCCTTTATTTTATATTGCCTTTCCTTTCACTCAAGTTAATACATGGCTATTCTCTAGTTAGTGATTTTCTTTCTCATCCTTGGTGATCATAGAAAATGTTTCCTTCTGTGTGTAAACCTTTTCTCATAGTGGTCTCTGATAATATTTAGCTTTTTGTGATCGACTTATTTCACTCAGCATAATATCCTCCAAGTTCATCCATGTCATGAGGTGATTCGCTGATTTGTTACTATTCTTTAATTTGTGTAATATTCTATGGTGTGTGTGTACCATAGTTTGTTAATCCATTCATCCATTGATGGGCACTTAGGTTGTTTCTATCTTTTTGCTATTGTAAATAATGTTGTGTTGAACATGAGTGCACACGTATTTATTCATTTCACAGCTCTTATTTCTTTAGTATATATACCTAGTAGTGGGATTGCTGGATCATATGGTATTTCTATTTCCAAATTTTTAAGGAAGTGCCATACTGTTTTCCACAAGTGGTTATACCATTTTACAGTCTTACCAGCACTGTATGAAAGTTCCAATCTCTATCTCTTTTTTTTTTTCTCAACAGCATTTTTTTTTAACTTTGCTATTAATGCTGGAGTGAGATGGGATCTTGTTGTTTTGATTTCTCTCTCTCTAATCATTAATGACTTATTAGTTAGACACATGCAAATCAAAGCAACAATGACAATGGCTACCAATGAATGGCTACTGCTACAACTCATCTGTCAGTTTGCTGTAATGTGGTGACTTGAATGTTGTTGTGATGCTGGAAGCTATGACACTGGTATTTTGAAAACCAGCAGGGTCACCCTTGGTGGACAGGTTTCAGGTTCCAGATTAAGACAGTCTAGGAAGAAGGACCTGGAAGTCTACTTCTGAAAGAATTGGCCATTGGAAACCTTATGAATAGCAGTGAAAGTCTGATAGAGTGCCAGAAGATGAAGCCCCGAGGTTGGATGACACTCAATGTATGACTAGCAAAGATCTGCCTTCTAAAAGTAGAGTCAGCCTTAAA